CTCTGTGTTCTGTGTAATGTGAATGCTGACTTGAGCAAAACTTACGAAACTGAATTCGTGTAACAACGCATACACAGCTAAGAAACCACATATGTACAATGCTGCTATACTAGTACATCAATTTGATTACATGTATTTCAATGGGAGTAAATCGTACGTGAATCGAACCTTACACTGTTTTTCACAATCGTCAAATCTAAAAGTTGAAAACACAAAATATGTATCTCTATTTAGATGCAGATAGTTTAACTCACCATACTTCGCCCGTTTTACGAATCTCAACTTACACATTCATTTCCTCTTGTTGTTTAACCTTGTTTCACAAAAAGCTGGGAGCCGAATAACGAAATGTAATCAACATAAACTACAGGAAGTTTACATGTACGCATAGATTTTGAAAGATCCGCCATTGCTGCATATATAGTTGTTCGGTAATTATTTACTCACTAATCTGATCTCGCGCCCCCACAGGGCAATATTGCATTCCGCTGGATGAGATGCAACCTGTAGCAGTTTGCTTCAGGTGCGGTTAACGAACTGTTTCAAAAGTGTTTTCATAAGGACAGGGACAATTTTTGCGATTTTATTAAGGCAGGAGTGGGATTATATTATTTATTTTGTGAGAACATCAGTAGATGGACTTAAAATTAGTCCAACAAATAAGTTGTCTTTATTTTGATTGTACGTATAGTATATCAGAATTTCAGAATTCTGTATAGTGGTGAATTACTGTGATTGCCGTTGCACAACTCTGTGTAGTTATTTAGCATCGAATCCAAGAACACCCACAGTAAAATCAAAGCTGCAGAAATGAAGATTTTAATTACAACAATGTTTCGCCTTGAAATTAATATAACTTGTAGGGATGCAATAAAACTAATTTGACACAGAACCATAATTTTACATTATCTTGTTTATTATATTTAATGTTTCTCGTTTGATTTACATCGGTGACAATTAATCAGACAATCCATAGATTATTATTATTCAGTCTGAGAAGTCGCCACGGGATCTGAAACACGCAATTGTAATGAAACCGGGCCATGCCCGCCTGAGAAACGATTGGTGACTTGCTGAATTAAATTTGCATATGAATGCTATAATTGTACATATTTTAATAAAAGCAATCAAGAAACATCAGAGACAATGACACGCGAGAATAAAACCAACAGGACAACCAGCCAGTCATTATGAATCAAATCAAGCAAAAAAAGGGACCAAAAATACCAATTTTGGATGCAGTCAGATGTGACTTGGCTGTGTGACAAATCCCCCATAATGGACTCAAGTGTAGGGATTGTTGGTAGTAATGTTACCAATTTGGGTAACACATTCCCATAATGTAGTGATTGTTAGAGGAAAAGTTATCCATTTGGGTGGCAATCCCCGTAATGAAGTCATATGGAGAGTCTGCTGGCAGAAAAGTTCATCCATTTGGAAGTTACATCCTTGTAATGAACGCATCTGTAGCAAATTTACCCTTTTTGGCCTACAACAACCCTATCATACTTGTAGGCCTACAACAACCCAATTATACTTATCGGCCTACAACAACCCAATCACCTACAACAACCATATCATACTTGTAGGCCTACAACAGCCCAATCATACTTGTAGGCCTACAATAACCCAATCATATATGTCGGCCCACAACAATCCAATCATATTTGTCGGCCTACAACAACCCAACCATACTTGTAGGCCTACAACAACCCAATCATACATGTCGGCCTACAACAACCCAATCATATATATCGACCTACAACAACCCAATCATACATGTCGGCCTACAACAACACATTCATATATGTCGACCTACAACAACCCAATCATATTTGTTGGCCTACAACAGTTCAATCATATTTGTCGGCCTACAACAACCCAATCATAGTTGTCGACCTACATCAACCCAATCATACATGTCGGCCTACAACAACCCAATCATACATGTCGGCCTACAACAACCCAATCATACAT